ATCAGAAGCAGCTGTGAAACAACTTTTGAACCCCAGACCTCCTATGGTAGGTTCTGGAACTCAGAATCTATCCTATTAAGGCACTGTATGCAATAAACTCCATTGCATCAAAAATATATTACACTTCCCTTGTCTGTCTCCAGATATTTATCTATGTCCTGACTACTTGGCATCTATAATAGATTATTGCAGGTATTCTATATTGGTTATTAGTTATCTTTGTGTAATTAAGTAACCTCTAGCATCCTTCTATATCTGTTATTTAAACATTTTTTTCATATGTTCCTGTAGTTCAAGTATCTCCCCTATACTGCAGAATAGCAGTTCTCTCATGTCAAGATACTGAATGACTAATTTTACAGAGGTCACAGTCCAGACCTCATAAACGTCTTTACTGCACAAAAAGAAAATGTAAGTAGCACTGCTTCCCAGCTGTCAGTAGGGAACTGCAGGTGAGCTCAGTGGTGTCATTACCAAGGTGCAATAGGTGGCAATGCGCTGGATGACATCCATCAGAGGGGTGACACTTTTGGAGATATGGAAACAGTATGCCACATTTTGCCCAGGTTGGTGGCAATAGCAGCAGCAGCAGGGTCAGCAGTGAATGCTGAGGTGCCTCTGTGTTAGCCTCCGCTGCCTCTGTCCCACAGGCTCCCACCATGGTTGTTCTCGCTTAAGAAGAGGTGAGAGACGAAGAGAATCTATCACTCCCAATGCATGGGCCGGCTATGCAGTTTATCACATGGGAGGTTAAGTGCCCAAATCCTGTGCAGAATCGGGATTTAAATCTCGGAAAAATCCAGCAAAAGCAGGATCGTTTTCAGACACATCAGGGGTATTGAGCATTGACCAACATTAACCTGCACTGAAAGTGAACAAAATTGGCTGCTTTTTATTCTCGGGATTTTTCTGTGCAGGATGCCCCCCCCCCCCGATGTCATCTGAAAACGATCCTGCTTTTGCAGGATTTCCCCAATTTAAATCTCATTTCTGCACAGGATTTGGGCACTCCATGTGATAAACTCCTATGTATCTCCAAAGGTCATACCCAGTTAGTAGTGGTGCCCTAGCAAACCAAGAATGGGGTGATGGGATATTTTTCAGGAAGGGTCTTTTTTGCAGGCACTTTTGCATGTGGAGATGCCAAGCATTGGCAGCAGTGGAGTTGTGTGGTGGCATGTGCATGTGGGGTCGCCAATTCCCACAAAGGCTGCACCCTCTTCTGGCTGGTGAAGGATGCGGCCATGGGGGTGGCACCATGAGCCACACTACGGTGACACCAGCCCTAGTGACACCACTAGGTGAGCCTCCATATTTTACTTATATAGCCCAGCACAGAAAAGGAAGATACTAAGAATGTTTGACTTAAGGGGAGCGGGGGAGGGTTAAGAATAAAAATAATACTAATATTTTTTTAAAATGTGTAAAGGTTCCCAGAAAGAATATAGCCTTTAGATCCACTGGGGACAGGATACAATGAAATGCATCTGACATGTGTGCTCACTGGGAGATTCTGAGAGTTGGTCTCCTAAAAGGTAACTTTTCTACATGATGGAACCACAGAGCTAGTGGGCCTTTCACTGGGCTAGTCATATCACACAAGGACAGTATTAGCACTCAGAATTCATGGGTGAGCCAAAGATGATCCAGTATTCCAGTGGTCCATCATGGCCCAACAACAGTGCCACATGTCTGGGGCAACTCCAGATTATTTATGAAAAGGAAAAAAAAAGCACCGCATCCAGTGTAGATCCTTTTGGCAAGAGGTCAGCACCATATGGCTGGTATCTTATCAGTGGCAAAGGCAAGTGTAAGTCAATCTGTGTATGCCTCTTTTTGGTCTATGTGGAGGCTGGTGTTCTCTTCTTCCCTCCGCACCAACCACAGCCTCTCTCATGGACCTACCGTGGAATTGCTGTGCCCCCACCCCAGCCATTTCATGCCTGGTGAGAGCAGTGTGAGATCAGGGAACTAACTGGCTATGCCCCTGTAACCAGATGCAAAATGATTATATCATCCATTGAGACCAATGTAAGACCCCAGTGGACCTCTGTAGATTTAATCACTGTGTGTAGCTTTAGGAGCACAGCCAGATGCTTCTGTAGTCTCCCACTGCTGTTATCAGGCATGGAATACGCAGGTTTAGCTGCAGAGACTCTACAATAGGTACAGGAATCAACAAATGGCCAAATGTAGCATAGATCCACTTGCAGAAGTTCAGTACTATGCTACACTGGATCACAAGGGATTTACATCCATCCACTGTGAGAACCAAGCATTTATTCCTACTTTCTGCTTTCCATTCTTTGAGCAGCTACCAATCCCTAAGAGAATTATCTTATTCCCCAATTGCTAACTTTGTACATAAGTCTCTATTAAGCAAATTTGCAAAAAAAAACCTTTGAATGTATGTGGGACCACACCCAAAGTTTGGGGAAGTTACATTTTTGGACTACAACTCACAGAATCCATTGGTGAACACAGGAAGTAACATGGGTATTTTAGAGGTTGTAGTCCAAGCCCTGATCTCAGCTGTTCACCTATCTATTGACATTCCCAAAGAATTTCAAATGGTTAGCAAGAAGGGAATTACAGAAACTCTGTTAATTCTTTTTTAGCAGGCCCATCCTTCTGTATCTATAATTTTATAATTATAATAACCAGTACTTTAAATTCTTGTTGGAAACAGACTGGCAGCCAGTGTTGCTATTTCAGCAAGGGATTATATGCTGGCTATATCTTGACCCAGTCAACAACCTAGCTGAACATTTTGGACCCAATGAAGATTCCAAAAAGTTTCCAAAGCCATTGCCATGTTGAGTGTATTAACAATAATCCAAATGGGATGGAATCAAGGCATGTGTCACATAGACAGATCTGATGTCTCAAGAAATGGATGGATGCAACTGGGCATCCAGAAGCACACCCAAGCTGTCACTCTGAGATTTCATGTGTAACCCCATCCAGCACAGGCTGAATCACTATTCCCTGACCTGCCTTTTGACTGACCAGGAGCACCTCTGTCTTCTCTGGATTAAGTTTCAATGTGTTTGCCTTCATCTAATCCAGTGGTTCTCAACCTTTCTAATGCGTGACCCCGCAATACAGTTCCTC